AATGCTTTTTTTTTTATTCATCATTTAAGCTATTTGGCAGAGAGTAAAACCTATTATATTGACAAAAGGTGAAAGAGAATTACCTTTTTGCCAGATAAACATAACATTTCTTTGTTTAATTTAAATTATTATGGAGACAAATTAAAATTATTATGGAGACATTGATAGACCTTTTACTCTTTGATAGTTAAATGCTCTTTTAATATTTTGGAGCTTTGTTGCCATTTTGTGATGTCCTAAGTGTCCTTTTTATTTCTAAATAAAACAGTAAATTCAAAAGGAAAAAAACCTCTGTTTTCAAAATCTGAAATTAAAAAAAAAATCTGAAATTTACAAAATTACTGAGAGAAAACTAGCAGTAGGTTTGTTTTGGTCCCACAGAAGGACAAGATGATTGGGGTTGGGAGTGACCTCTGGAGAGCATCTGGTCCAATCTGCCTGCTGATGCAGGGTCACCTAGAGCAGGTTGTCCAGGACTGTGTCCATTCGGGCTTTGAGTATCTCCAAGGATGGAGACTGCACAGCTTATCTGGGTAACCTCTTCCAGTGTTCAGCTGTGTTCACGGTAAAAAAAAAGCATATGTTTTTTTCAGTCTCCCCCTTCCCCCCTGTTATGTTCAGATGGAATTTCATGTGTTTCAATTTGTGCTCATTGCCTCTTGTCCTGTGACTGGGCACCACTGAGAAGAGTCTGGCTCTGTCTTCTTTACACCCCCACATCAGATACTTATACGCACTGATAAGATTCCCCCCTGCCCCCGAGCCTTCTCTTCTCCAGGCTAAACAGTCCTTGCTCTCTCAGCCCCTGCTCGTATGACAGCTGCCCCAGTCCCTTAATCATTTTAGTGGCCCTTTGCTGGACTTGCTCCAGTACGTCCACTTGTACTGGTGAGCCCAGAACTGGACCCAGCACTGCAGATGTATCTCAACAGTGCTGAGTAAAGGAGAGTGAGCAGCTCCCTTGACCTGCTGGTGATGCTTCCTTATGCAGCCCAGTGCCTTTGCCATTACTGGCCATTGTTCAGCTTGTTGTCCACCAGGATGCCAAGGTCCTTTGTGCAAAGCTGCTCTCCAGATGGTCGGCCCCTGGCCCCGCTGAGGCTAATAATATTGCAGAAAATGCAATTACTGGGAAATTTCTGAAGTTGTAAATGAACACTTTTTTTTTTTTTTTTTTCACTGGGACAGATTTACATTTCTGCTAGTCTAATAGCAGAATCTCTAACAAAAAGTGATAATTTAAAATACAGTCTGTTGTGATTGTTTAAAGATGTCTCCTTGAAATAGCTGTATCAAGGGATTGCTGTGCATGCGTTTGTTGGTAATAAATAGAAAATGTGAATTGACTACAATCGCTAATAAGGCTGGGTTTGTACTACAAGATTTTGCCAGTGCTGCTGTATGAATCAAGAATGTGACAAATCATCATATGAACAGAAGTTAGTGCGTTGGCAGCACTTCTTGTATGGATACAGCCACATGAACAGGAAAAAGCTTTTATTTGCTTAGTATATGTGTTCGAGTGGGTAACGTGATTGCACTTTGTGGGGGCATATCTTGAGATATGCTACGTTTACTATATGGCATTGTTAGACTAGGAAAGGGTCTGCAGTGCAAACAAGAGTAACGTACCTTTTCTGATATATGAACACTATTACTTAAAATGCATCCCCAAATGAAAGCACTTTTTCTCTTTCTGGCACTAATCTTCAGGTTTTCAGTACAGTTTCTTTTCATAGTACTTAAGATACTAGAGTAGTTAAACAGAGAAAATGCTACAGAGGGTAGTTATTG